GACCAACGAATGTAAGTTGAATTCATTGCTATCCTAGAAGAATATATTTAGATTATTTCGAGAAATCGATTATAATCTAAAGTTTGACGACACGGGCTTAACTTGAACCGACATCCACAGAGTTGCGTGCTATTGCTATAACCAATTGATACATGCACTTCTTTTGCAATGTAATTTCAACCTTAACATTTGCTAATTAAGGTTTAAAGTATAGATACAGTGCATAAAAACTTGCGTGTGGTGAAAATCACACTTGCTAGGAATCGACTGCCTCCATAACTCAATGGTTTAACGTATTGTGTCTTTGCGTTTGAATCTCGGGTTTCGGGTCTGAAACTGCTATACTTGCGTTCAGGCAGGGTACAGAGATGATCAACTACTTGTCTCTCCATCGATCAGAAATCAGACACAAAGATGTATCTGCCCACACTGTTCATCATTTCTGCACAGCGGAAATGATGAACTTAATTATTAAATAAAATAATTAATTAATAAATAAAACACTTATAACGGTTTCAAATTCGGAATTTATTAGTTAAACTTATTTACAATTTATTTGAAATACAGCCCGATGTTTCTACAGACAGTACTTACTGTTAGCGCAGTTACTTATAGAGAACTGTTACTTACTTCCAAGCTTCTCCGAGTCTTGTTGAAATGCAAATGTCGTAATACAAGCAAATTCAGGCAGGATTCCGGTAAAATCTTATTGGGTTAGAGTTACGTAGCTGGTATGCATTGAATGCAGTTGAATTCAGGAAAAAATTATTCGTCTGCGTATTTATTGCATAGACTTTTTCTTAAGTTTATATTTTCACAACTACTAACTAACCTAACGAACTTGGATATTTTAGAATAAATCGTTTTCAAATACATAATATTTCATGCAACAATATAAAATATCCCTTAGTGTTTTACGTTTCCTTTATCGCTTGAAGCTAAAAAGGGGAGTTGTGACGGACCCGTTGTTGTAATACTAGCAATGTATGGCTAATAAACAAGTTCTATCTCCACTGGGATGTAAACATGCATCTAATCAATTTATTATTATTATGTATTTAGATACTGTCTATAGTTAACGCGAGTAGTACACATTTAAATAAAGCACTTTAACGGTTTAAAACGCGATATATTAGTTAAACTTATTTGAAAATTATTTTTTACTTCGGCCCGACGTTTCGGATGCTTTGCAGCAGCCGTGCACGGGGAGTCTCCCCGTGACCGTGCCGAAGTTAAAATCATTTTCAAATAAGTTGAACTAATATATCGCGTTTTAAACCGTTAAAGTGTTTTATTTAAATATTATCTATTTTCCAAAACTTGTTGGACTTCGTATCAGATCTGCACATAAAGTGGGTGGGAATATCTAAATTCCGGTTACCAAGTAACGTCCACAAATAAAAAGCCGTGAAGATTAATCGCGTTGCGGTTTCAGTCTCAGGATTTTCGAATATCAAAGCCAAAATAGGTCGACCGCGCACCTTGTTGAGATTGTTGGTGTATTGTATATCGTTGGTGTATTTCGCTTTTCATCCAGTGTGCTTATATGTTTGTTCTATCATATTAACTAAAAATAAAACATGGAAATTTTCACATAAATTTATTTCTTCATATACATTATGTATAATTCTGCGAATCCACTGTGTCCCGGGACGCATCGCGGGATATCATTTACAAAATAATCGTTTAAACTATTTTAATTACATTCATTCTCTCCCGCTACAATCGTCCGCCAATTTGTCGCACTAAATTAAAGTTAGCTATGGCGCCAAAATCGCAATTCATAATATACACAACGCAGAAATTTCATATCAAGGTTTGTACATTTCAATATTCGAAAAAGAATCAAGATCATAGTAATTTATTGCTGCCAACATACCGTTATTTCTTAAAACGCTAAAGTCAATCTTAAACCTAGGTATCAATAAACAAAATCATACAAAAACGTCAATATAATACATTACGTACATAAGGAGTCAAATATTGAAAACGAATTAAAGAACACATTAAAAAGAAATCAGTCTTATTCGTAAAATGAAACGCGAATGTGTTGTACGAATTCAATGGGCTATTACCGCGAGTACTGGAAGTCATTTAAAATGTGATGACAACTTTATAACCTTTATAGTTCATACTCTGACCCAAATCTGTGCGCGAATGATGGATTTTACAAAAATATACATCCATTGGAGTATTCAATCCCGGTAAAAAAATATTTCACTTTTTATTGCGTAGGCATGGTGGAAATTTTAACTTTGTGTTCGGTTGTTATTTAAAAAAATAATAAAATGTTTTGACTAACTTTTAAATAAGGTTAGACTTGTTTTCATTTTCAGTAAAATAAAGGAAATCATGTTCGAATAATAAAGTTTTTCGCTACGAGCTATTAAGCGGTTTTCCATTTATGGGCTTACGTAAGATAACTGGCACCCGTAAAAAGCTGCTTTGACGAAAAATTGCGAGTGCTGAGCCATCCGATATGCGATCTATCAACGAGTATTAAATTTTCACTATCCATTTTAACAATATTTTTAAAATCTACGTATTTATTCCGTATATACTTTATAGCTACCTGAAACGATTGGCAGTTTATGTATAACGACCGAGATGGTTTATATTAGTTATTAGTTCATTTAATGCGTCGTACGTCTAATGTTCAAAGCTCAAGTTTAACTTATACGTAGATCGATAGGTTATGTAAGATTGTATAAAAGGAGTGAAAAAACCTAAACCGTAAGTGTAAGTTACAAATACTAGGCAAGGGATTTAAATAAATTCTACACCTATAGATAGCTTATTGTAATTAGGATTTGAAATTTTCTCAGTTTTATGGGGAACGAAAACGAAAGTGACGCCACAGAAGACGCTTACACCACACGTAATTCCTACGACTTAAACACACCGACAGAACAATTTCTACCTAACATTAGATATGTCATCGAATCACCGTCTTCCAAAGTGGCAGTGACGTTATTACACAAATACACAAAAATACAGGGGACATGGATGTTGTCCTCTCATTGTCTGACAGCTGTGCCTCTAAAAGGTAACAGAAAGTTAATTATACTTTTGAAAGTTGTGTACTTATTATATTTAGTACTTGATTCAACGAGCGAAGAGCGTGATTAATATTTAAGCGCGCGTCAAGTTACCGTAATGTGACAGCCAATCAGAGAACAGCAAATCGCCATGTTTAAAGATGGCCGACCGTAAATGTCAAGCAGTGGGAAGGACAACATGCCTGTCCCGTCACATTAAAGCATTTCGCATCATTAGACTATCACCGTTGTATTACTGGGCAAGTAAAAATGGATTTGCGTAAAAAACTTAAACTATTTACAAAGAATTACACTACGCACATGACAGACACGACACAGCCGATTCGTCTAAGATTTTCTCGTTACATATTGCAATAATTAAACATGATAATTACACTACTTAACGTATTTAACACCCGATATGAAAAATAAACTTCTAATTACAGCTGCAATAACTATTTATACATTTTACAATATCGTATATATCTGGCGGCTACTGATGAACAATTTAACAGCTTATGCTTTGTAGACAAAAATAAATTTCCATTTTGATTTTTAACTTTAGAAAGGCGGAAGTGGGTACATTGTTTGGTGATGAACGGGTCTCGGAATCGTCGCGATCAGTAGCCGTCATTTCTAGTCATAATATTATGTGATTAGAATCGAATATCATAAATGCGTAAATTACTAAGCGCACTGATTTCATTTCCTAAATATATAGCAAATAATTGTTCTTGGCTCGTTATCGATATACGGATAATTTTAAACATTTTTTTTCAATATCTCCCAAACGATTTCCTATAATACGCATCAAATCCAGTTAACGTCACCGCTCAGTAGATGCAGTGTATAGTTTTCTACATGGGGAAAAAAGGTTAGGTTATATAGTTTTTGAAACTTAAAATTGTAAGCGGCCTTTCTACTTAAAAAATTGAAGCTTTTAAATGGTTCTAATAATTAAATGAAATGTGAAATGACCCGACAACGAAAATACATTATAACTTCTTTATTATATCGCGAAACAACATGGCCGCTTACAGTTCCAAGTCAAAGCTACAACAAACAACAATTACCCTTTCCTTCTCACAATCATGATTAAGTGGTCTCATAGATTATAATATTATAAGTAATAATTTCTAGGCACTGTTACAGATTAGCCTCAGAGTAGAGATCAACAAGAGAATCAACAACCTTTCTGTTGAAGTGACTCAACTTGCGTTCACTACTCAATTCAACGTCGTTCAAGCCTCTTCTAATCTAGTCTATATTTTAACAGGGCCGTAGGCAGCTTTCATTTGATTAGCAGACAACAAAATATAACAAGGGATTTGGGTTTGTTCTATTGAAGGACGGTTGTTTAATTAAACAAGACAAGATAGTCTAACGAAACCTGCCGAATTCTTTACGTTTTAGTTCCGAACTAGAGTCTAGTTCGGAACTAAAACGTAAAAAAATCGGAATTTGTAAGATTTTGTGAAACTTAAAAATTTCTTAATAAGTAACGTGGACGTTAGTAATATAAAGGTTTATACTTTAATGGCTAAAAACACAAATGTATGCTAAACTAATTAAGGTTTAGGTAAGAAAAAAAATGTTGAGGTTGCACTGCTGATAATCAGTTTTTAATTTCCCTCATTTCCCGCCTTACCTACGCCCCTGTTTACTAATTTAAATGTTAAGTCGCTGATAGTAAACGAGATGGAACGTGTCGTATTAAGTTTATTGTCTTCATTTCGGTCCTTGAGGGAATTATGTTTGATGATGTTCGGAATTGTCACTACTCAACTTGATAGATTTTCGAGATCTCTTAGTAAATGGACGAAATTAAACAGCTGCCTTATAACGATTGAGTAATGTTAAAATGAGGGTAGATGATGTTGACGACACGTAACCGAAAGATCCCACAGCAAGGCGATAGATGGTGTTGGCGACGATGGCCGTTTAAACTAGCCTATCTCAGCGTCAGTTGGCATAGTGGTCGAAGGAGCCGAGGTACTCCAGCGCTGCGCGGTAGCAGAATTCGTACTGGTCCTGGAAACACTCCGGCGTTATTATAATATTCGAGAAAAAATCTTTCTATAAAATTTTATGGGACAAACTACTTTAGTTTTGATAGATCTTATTAAATCGATACACAGACTCTATGAAGCCATCATGGCCATGATAGAAGAACACATGATTCAAAAGTTTTTGAGCTGCTTTTGAATTATGTGAGTTTACCTCAGTTTGCACCATAGCTGGCCTTTGGGTGCGCAGCGTGCGAACAGTCTGGAACACGTCGACAACTCCCTCGTACTGCATCCGCTCTAGCACCGTCGATAGAGTTATGAACACACCAGTGCGTCCCACGCCAGCGCTATAAATATGTGAGAATTAATATACTCTTATAATCATACTACGATAGAAATAATTGTGTAAGGCTTTCACGGACATCGTTCAGCATATTATTGTTTCTCGGGCACGTAATTCCTCGAGCAATCGAGGAGCTAACATGTGATGCCGTCCTGTCGTGATGATCGAATCGTTGAGAACCTCTACTCGTTTATGTCGGGCGAACGGCCCGAGAAAAGATAATATAACGATATAAACACTTTTGAATTCGAGGAATTTAAGAAAACAATTACAAGTAACTTTGGTATTGCACACAGGATAAAAACAAATAATAGAAAAGGTTTTAGACTAGAATCGAGGAGTCAAGATTTTAGGTTGGTGGATGAATAGAAAAATATTAGTTAAAAAAACTTTATGTGAAAGATACAGCCACAACACTTAATGTTACACTAAAAATGTATTCAAATAAAAAAAAAAAACGCCAACACCCCATTTTTGACGTTCAGTTCTAGTATAGTCACAAGTAGAGAAATATACCTACTCAGTACCTAACAGTTATTTCAATCAGCGTTAACCTAAAAATGTCACTCATATATCGGCATAATATCCCTTTTTATACTTTTAATCAATTTAAATGTTGAGACTGACCTGCAATGCACTGTAATCGGTCCATCTTGGCCAAACTGCTCTTTGGTCTTGTGGACTTGTCCAAGGAAGTCGATGAACCCTTCGCCGCTCTTGGGAACCCCTTGCTCAGGCCAATCGGTGAATTGGAACTGACGCACCGTGCGAGACGCACCATCGCGAGCGTCTGTCACCTGATTGACATACAGGGATACGTATTAACACCTAGTTTATTTATTAATTTCATTTAACTTGTCGTTTATACCTTAGCAAAATAAAGAAGTATTAGTATTAGCAGATCCGAAAGGTTTTAAATGTGACTTTTAGTAAGAATATATTATATAATTGTTTTCTGTTTAACGATTTCATACCAAAATTATTAACTTTACATCGTACATACATTAACAGTAATTCAGTCTTTTGTTGATATAATTATTAAATATAATAATACTTTTCAAATTTGTAGATATTTAATGATTTTTTTTAAATATATATAGTAGACTAGCTGGTGCCCGCGACTTCGTCTACGAAGGATTAGGATTAGGGTTGACTGATGTCTATCATATCATACATTACATAATTATGTGTAACGTTTATGGCAGCGCACGTCAGAATAGCTCGCAGAAAGGTAGGTTTTTCCTTGTTTGTCAAGTAACAAATTTAATTTAAGTAACTTAATGTCATATTTTGGACAGCTCACACTATATCTTTATAAATTGTAGCTTATGTGTTATTCTGATGTATAAGCTATATTATTGGAAAGTTTAATTGCAATCCATTCAGTAGTTTTTGCGTGAAAGAGTAACAAACATCCATCCACACATAAAAATTTTCACGTTATAATATTAGTAGGATGTGTTATTATTGTAATAAAGTAAGAAACAAATTTGAGGGACATAGCTCTTTAACAGCAAAACAAACGCAACCCCGTGGAAGGTCAATATTTTCCGTTTTCTATGGCCTTACCTTGAATTCCCTCAAAATGTATTGGGGCATATTGTATTCAGCGATGGGATCGACCACGAAGCATTGATAGCGCACAGAGCGATCTGAAGGCCAGTATTGGTGACATTTCTCCTGAAAAACATATTCTTTGAGCACATTACATCATTGAATAACAGACATTAAAAGACTTTAACGGTTTAAAACGCGATATATTAGTTAAACTTATTTGGAAATGATTTTTAACTTCGGCCCGACGTTTCGGATGCTTTGCAGCAACCGTGGTCACAGGGAGACTAAAGATGGAGGATGTACGAGTATATTCGGAAATTTACAAGAAACCGAAAAGCGATTAAACCTATTTGAAACATTATGGACCCGGCGGGGATCGAATCCCTGATTATCAGCCGTATATTGTTACCACTAACAAACCCGTTATTTAATAAAAAAATGTGCTTAAAGTTAGAGATTACATTCAAAACAACTTACTCGACCCATTTCCTTTAACTTGGTCAACATCACGATAATAGTGGAGTTATGCTCCCAGAGCATGCGCCAGAAGTCATCTGTGGTGTCCGGCAGAGGACCCTGAGTTGCAATATACGCCGCCCTGTATCTGTACCCATCGACGAACGAAGCATTGATGTAGTCGGACCCGTCGCGTGGTGTCAGACAAACGCGAGTAGACTCATACGGCAAGATGTGCACCAGCCTATTCTTGTGCTTATTGCATGGCAAGCTCGCGGAGACGAAGCGGCTAGAATCAGCTTTCATGTTAGCCAGCTTCTTGAATTCCAATTCCATTCCAGTAATATTCTCAATGGAATCGATGCGCATGAGTTTCTGGATATGGGAGTGTAAGTTACGCGCCGGTACTTCTGTATCACCGCAGATGACAGCCTCCAGTAATGCGTCATGAATGAAAATGTATTGGTCTTCGGTTTGGACCATGTAGTTGCGCTGGGCACGTAGACAGGTCACATGTCCGTAGATATCTACTGTGCGTTCGTGACGAGCTCTCTCTAGCATTGAGTCGATGACGATGAAGCAACCGGTTCGCCCGACGCCAGCGGAGCAATGTACTACGAGTGGTCCGGCGTCAGGTGGATTCAGGGCTCTAACACGACGTAGGAACTGCAAGAATGGAGCCGGGTGGTCGGGGACACCGTGGTCAGGCCATGCTGTGAACTGTAGCTGTTTTACTTCTCGGCGTTCAGCGCCACCGTTTCTGGTCACTTGGAAAGTACGGATGCAGTAAGTAGCCAATTCCTGAACTTCAGCAATAGTCACCGTCATCATACCGTAAGATTCGCTGCCTCGACTCGGCCAGTACTGATCGCATTTGATTCGAGTCCGCTCTTCCAGCTTCGTCATCATCACTATGGTAGCAGTGCGTAGCTCCCAGCACATTCGCCAGAAGTCAGCAAACGTTTCTTGTAGAGGTCCTTGTGTTGCAACGTATGCGTTGTGCTTACGATAACCGTCGCAATAGTTTGCGTTGATGTAATCACTTCCAAGTATTCCATCGATCGGTTGGAGGATAACGCGACTGTGGTCATAGGCTATCACATTGGCATATCTATTTTTTGGTTTGTTAACCTCCATGTTGGAATGATCCCACGTAAACTGTTGACCGGGTTCTATACTTTCATATTCTTGCGAGAATTTCAGATTGTCATTGGTTTTGAGTCTATCTATGTGTTCCGAAAGTTCCGAAATAGGTATTGGAGGGTGCGAGATCATAGCTGGTGTTTGGAAGTTAAGTCGCCGCATTTCTACCGGATCTGATGGAGCCCCGAAGCCAATATCAGCTGACATAAGGGGTCGTGTAACAGCCGCTTGGTCGGGAGTCTTGCAGGGCTGTCGTCTTCTTTTCACTATAAATAAGAGCACTAAACACAGCGACAGCATTAACGCAGCAATAATCGGACCAATCACCCACACCATTCCAGCTTCTTTCCTATTCTCTTCTATTCTAATTTCGGGATCACCATTGATATCTTTGGGATCGGGTCTACTCGGTTCTTCGCCTGGAGGAGCCTCTCGCATATCGAGTGATAAATATTCCGAAAACGGGCTAGAAGTATAAAGATGTTTTTGTGGCGTATCTACCACAGCCCTGACAAAAACTCTATATTTTTTCTTTGGATTGAGTTTTCTGTTTAAAAAGCCTTCATACATTTCGTCATTTCCTAGGTGGAACGTGTATAAAATGTTTCTTTGTAAAAATTTTGCGGCGATATATGGAGCGTTTTCGTCATCAGTCCGAGCGTTATTTTTAATTAAGTTGTCAGTTAAAAACTGATCAGGGTTTTTATGATTATGAGCTTTGTCGTCTGGGACTACAACAAGATAGTAATGCGAAATGGGTCCATATTCTTCAGACGCTTGAGGTAATATAACGAGTATTTCGTTTTCAACAACGCCATAAAAGTCAGGCTTAACCATTGGTTTTGGTGCAGCCATTTGAGTTGTGACTGTGATTTTTGTCGGTGGCCTATACGACTTATCATTAGGTATGGCGCTTATGTTTACATTGTACGTTGTAAATGGCGAAAGATCATTAATGGAATATGAAGTTCGGTCATGCTTAACCACAATTTCCCTCTTAGGAATCTCCTGAGTCTGCGTCATGCCTAAAGAGTCGACAAATTCTTTTATGGCATTATACGAAATTTTATAGCTAACGGGATTTAATCGTAAAGGTGGTGACCACGATAATGTCATGGAATGAGTAGACACGTCCTGAGCTCTTAAATGTAAAGGCACTTCTTCCGGTCTCACTTTTACTTTCACCTTTTCTGATAATCTTCCTAAACCTTCAGCTAATTTCGCAGCGACTGCAATGGAATATTCGGCGAATTTTTCCAGATTTTCTAAATCAGCGGAATGCGTTACGTGAACGGTCTTTTGTTGCCACTCATCTAAATCTTCGACGGGGGTCATTGTATAGAAAATAACATATCCGACGACTTTCTTCCTTGACGGGACTGTTTCCCACCATACTTCTACACCCGATTCGGAAGTAGCCACAGCCTTGACGGCCATGGGTGCTCTGCCGATATCTCTTTCCGTATGAGCTGTTATATCTTTACTGTATGGTCCAGCACCTTGATCAGTATAAGCCCTCACTTTGAATACATAATGAGCATCTTCTTCTAGGCCGGTGAACACTGCTTTTGTTAGTTCCGTAGTTTTTTCTACCATAGACGACTGATCACTTTTCTTATAAAATTGTACATCGTACTTTCTTATTTGTCCACTACGGTCCGCTCGTATAGGGGCCTCCCACATAATACTAATAATGTCAGGAGTTTGAAAATGATATGTAACGTTAGTGGGTGGTCCTTTTGGTGCGCCTTCAGGGGTCAGCCAATATTTTATAGCCTCCTGGCCTATACCTATAGGATTTCTTCCGGCCACTCGGAACTCATATTGCACTCCTCTCTCTAAATCATTAATTCTATGGGAGTTAACTTTAGTTCCAGAAAAATTCATTTCTTCTAGAGTTTGATCTTTAATGCCGTATCTGAGCCGATATCCTAACAAATCCCCATAAGTCTGAGTAGGTTTGGCCCATTCGATTTCAATCGACACTATCGGGTCCCGTTCTAAAACCCTGAAATAATATGTTTGTTATAAAAAGTAAAATAGGGAAATAATTTTTTTTTAAATTCCGTTTATGTAATAACGTAAGAAAATAATTAAAACAAACTGATGTGGTGATGACTGCTGAGAACTTACTTGAGATTGACAGTAGGCCTATTAGGAACGCCACCTGGAGTCTTTACAGAAACTGGGGGACTTCTGTCACCATCTCCTTTTCTTGTTAGAGCTGCCACCTGTACATTGTATCGCGTGTCGGGTTGCAGACCCGAGACATTCAATTCTAACGTTGTATCGTCCATTACATTGAAACGCATCGGATCGTTGAGAAAACCTTTGCCCTGTAACAAGAATTAAGCAAATGTAAAAGGAAATAAATCTTGTATCTGTAGTTTACGAGTTGAATACATTACACAATTTATTGTTACACTTTAAGTCGGCTATACTATTCACTAAGTAAAACGAATCTTACTAGGACCAAAAACGTCGGGGTAAAATAATAACTACAATGTAAATCGTATTTCAACTCATTGTAAGTAATTTTATTTATTAACCCACGTCATCCACAGATACATTTTAGTTTTATTATAATAACATCGTGTGTGTACAGCCATGGAATCGGTACAGTATGCTAAAGATTGCGAAATCGAATGCTGTCCGTACCATTATTTAGAATTTCTCTCGTTTTTTATTAAATATGACTAAATTTAATTAAAAATGATACTCACTTCTTCTCTAACCTCCTGTACGTGTACATGATAACCTCTAATGATGCCGTTCTTATCCTTCTCTTGCGGTGGCTTCCAGGTGACGTGGATCGACGTCGAGTTGATAGCGTTCACTTTCACATCTTGAGGTTCGCCAGGCACTGCGAGCATAATTCAAACGTTAGATCCGCTGAGCCCGCACATCTCGTACGAAGACCTAAATGCCCTATCAGCATCTACGGGAGCATTCTAAAGCTAGAAGCCTGGAAACTCTTCGAACCTAAGTTTAAGCTTTGCACGAGTTCGAGTGCGGTCGGTAAGCGCCATCTATGCTGATAGAGTATTTGGTCGCGGCGCGTTCGTCCGCTCAGCATCTCGATCGGGCATTTGAATACCAACACACACTAAGAATGTAAAACTTTACACCCCTTCACATCATAACTAAAAGAAAACCATTACCTTTCAATCCACATTAGTAAGATCAACTAAAACTGTTAAGCGGTTCAAGGAGAAATACATTTAGTAATCATCTATTAGTTATCCAAAAGCAGCGTAACTATTTCTAGGACGAGAATCGCTATCGCTCATCGATTCACAAAGTACACACACTGCAAGGGAATACGCACAGGGCAATTGAAACCGGTCTTCTTGAGAAAACGTACAAGGTCATGCGCTCGTTTTAACCGCTTGCAGTTTGGTTAATTTTAAGGTTAATTAGATCTAGGAAGGTCAAACTACGAAGCTGAGGCACAAGCACAAACGCACATCTGTACAGGCACTAAAGTAATGTATACTCACTCTTGATAGCTGTACGGTTACCAGCGGCCCATACAAAGTCAGTGACGAGAGAAAAAAGAGAAAAACGCATTCAGATACATTTAAGACAAATTGTGCATTGCAGGGCGAACGGAACTACTGAGTGAGAGATAACGAGTACAACTTGTCGGCAATATGGGGACTCTCTTATTTCAATTCCTCGTGTATTTTGAGCTTTTCGGAGACGCATTCGGGTTAAGCCGCTTGGGACGGCGACAATGTCGGCTTGCATGCAATGCCTTTCTCTGCTCGCGTCGAGGAAACGAAATGGGAATTTATTTTTCGCTCGGGCCCTAAATGTTTCGAGCTGTTACGCGGCTTTCCGCAATTTGTGTTTGTATTTGCAAAGAGTTGAACGAATTTCCTTTTTAGAATTAAAGAATTAAAGAGACAATTCAATTAAACACTTTTATTATTATATCACACGTATCGATTATATTTATAGTTAATTTAGACAATTGTTTTAGGCTATTACTGCTATCAGCAGAGTAAGGCTTTGCTGCACTGCCGAGGCAGACGGATCACTCACACGCACATGTATTGATTAACGCGACGGCGCCGGTTTGTGTGTGTGAGTCCTCTGTGTTGTCTGGTTCTCCTCTTTCCAAGTGTGTAAAATGTTTCATACCTCGTGTTGTCCAGTGAGTTTGTATTGTGTGTGTCCAGTGCTCCCCTAAGTTTAGCATTGTTTAAAAGTATTTACAGGTTGCCAAGTCTCGCCCATCGCGACCTTCCATTCCTCAACGGCAATAGCTTTGCACAACAGTATTTTGTATGTCACAATATCTAGTGTACATGCATGAAGTCTGATAGTATACAGAAGAGAGAAGAAGATAGAAGATGCTACTTGCGATAAATTGTAGCATAAGAGCGAGTGAGAAAGATAGAGGGAAAGAATAGCGCGTAGTCTATCCGAGCCGAGTAGCCGGGGAGTCGCACAGTTTCCCGACCCGGTCTGAGTCGACCGGATCGAAGGCGCCTACTCCTCCCCGAAGAGTGAGCCAGAGTACAGAGTATAGTGAGTAGAGAAGTAGTCGTGAGTAGTATAACATGCGCGCGTGTCGTGTTGAAACGGTATTGGTATTCAAATGCGGCGCTCGGGCCGTGACTGTTGGACTGTTTGGCTGACCGTGCAGACCCATGAACCATTGACCCGGCAAATCGTCGAGCAATCAAGGTGGTCGCCTCTGGCTCATGCATCTGGTGGTTTCTGTAGCGTCACGCACTCGCTGTCTCACCTCGAATTCTAGTGCTGAGTGCGCCTAAAAGTGCGGTCTAACCTGTACGATAGTGGCTATTGTACAGAGAAGACGTACCTATCCAGTGCCCAGTGAGAAAGATTTGAACGAAAAACGGTGCTGTGTTGAAGCATGCAAAGTGTCCAACGCTAAATACTCGATAATTGTGCGTCAAAACCAATATAAACGGTGCCGTCGACACTAAACCAGGTGCATCGCAATTATGCATATCAGTGAGTGCCATCTTAATGACGTAGACGATGACGTCATCCACAAATCATTACATGTGACAAGTGAGTGGAGATATCGACTCTATGCCGCGGTGTTAGCGGCGGAATTCAAATGAGTGATTAATTTATAGTATGTACACGTAATTTGCAAGCATATTAAAATATTCTGTTACGAATTTTAACCTCCTCGCTTAGAATCCTGCTATTCGCTCAAAAGAAAGGAGAAAAGAAAAAATGGTATTAGTAATTGATAGTAGCTGTATGATATATGTACTTATGATATATAGGACAAACCCATAAGCTCAGCCCGCCACCCATTCCAAGATAAAGCCGAACCGTCAACGTTCGCCAATATATTAATCTTATCAATAATAAATCGAAAACCAGCCACGAAGCCCTAATTGTAAATTACAACGTAATTGAATAACTTTGCAACTTCGTGATTGGTCTGATTAAAGTTCACCTTCATCCAACTAGAATCATGTTAACAGTTAAATGTTATTAAATCATTATAGTGTCAGAAATTTAATACTAAACATGTACACATATAATATAATAATTTCTTAGTATAAGTAATTTCCTTTATCACAGTTAAAATTCTGATGATATTCATTATGAAATTTACCAATATTACGATTAATTTACGCCCACGTTCATATAAAAATTAACAGCAAATTGGAATATAACTTAATTGTGGAATCATATTATTTAACTCCATTACGTGAGCGTAAAATTAATCTATAAAATATAATTCAATGATATAAGGCATATTTTGGATATATTCATTAATAGCTGGGAGTAAATTGTTGCACAGAGCAAATTACAATTTTAATTCTACGATTCGGTTATAAGTGAGTGTATCATACCTTATATTACAGAAATATTTAGGAGTACAGAACAGAAAGAAAATATTGATGTTAATACATAAATACTACAAAATTAATATCCATTAAAACATTAAATAATAATATAGGATAAATGAATATATTAAACTTATATGACTATTCACTCATATCGTAGGGAAGAGAGTATAGTTAAAGAATACAAAGTAATTTTCGATATAAACATAGAAATAAAATAAAATAATTAAATACAAAGAATAAAATAAGAGTACATAAAATGAGGGTAGGCCTACCAAGAAACTTATAAAAACAAATATCCCGGTAAATACCGGTAATGACTGACACGTACCGTCTTCATGCGTGCGCACGGTGACCGGGTAGGAGGCCGGTCCGTCTCCGACGCTGGTCCCGGCCAACACCCAGATGCGGTACTCCGTCCAACGCCTCAGCTCGTCGAGGACGAAGCTAGTCTGATTGAGTTTCACCACCATCGCCTCGCTATCCCCCCTCCCAGACTCCACACAGAGGAGTTTGTAGTACGCTATCCTTCCGTTGGCCCTTTCGGCGGGGGGCGGTTGCCACGACACCCGAATCGCGGTGGGCGATATCGCCACGGCTGTCACATTCATCGGCGGCGCTCCGGGAACTAAACAAGCTCAAAAGTGAAAAACCGCGCTCTACCCGAAACCGGTTTATCTGCAACCGAAATTGGCGCGCAACGCCGTTATCCCGCCGAGACGCAATCACTGAATGCTCGTGTCGGAAAATAATGTGTGGCATGCTTGTGTGAGGTCCGCTCGCCCATACGTCTTACTCTCGGATCTGTGCGATGGGCGATGGATGTGTATGTCGCTGACGGTTGTATAGGAGATAAAGGATCCACTCGGGGCGAACCCCCGTAAAACGTACGAACAACATAAAGCTACTGGGCGCGGTGTACGCAACGCTTATACATTTTCTATGAGTTGAATCGATGGTGAACGAATTGCGTTCGCCGCGCCGCCACAGATAGTTGAGAGTGGCTACCTCACTTCTGTCCATTCAATATTTAAGCCAAACGGCGGTAAACTAGATTACAAAACACGGACGTTCCAGTGTAATAACCGAGTTCACGAGACAGTGATCGTGAGTGAGCCACTCGCCTGTCTGTTACCTTTACGAATGTACAATTACAAAACACATATTATCGTGATATAAAACTTGGTGCTTGTGCTGTATAATACTGGCAGCGTGCCGGGCAGGTGCGTTTATGTGAAATATTACAGTGGGTATTACCTGCAAAACGATACGTTAAGTTCACAATGCAAGTGGAAGGGGCTTAAAGGGACCACTATTACATAAACACAAAGAAGAGATCGAGAATTTCGTCTAGCCTAGACAGTTTCTGTGGGTTTCCTTGTTTATTTAATATTCACACAAAACGTGTTATAAAACACACTCATGCGAATTCACTCAAAAATTTGGAGTTTGGTTACCTTTGGAGAATCGGAGTATGTATTGTTTGCTATACATACTATAATGTATTTATACGTCTGTAGAGCAAAAACTGTATAGGCGACTGTAAAATCTTTCTGTGTATGCATTTAAGAGCCCGTTCCCATTGCACTGTACCGACGTCACCGCAATGACGTCACATACCATATTGTTTAGTCCGGACTGCGATAGGTGGCGTCGTGGCACCCTCGCCCCTCTGCGATCTCGCAGCCAGCCAGATGTAGTACAGCGTGTTCGGATATAGGCCGTTTAGCGTGTATGTTTCGGTGATGGGTATCCGCCTGAATTAATTTGAATTGTAAAAAAAATACCATAGTATATTCTATACTTTTACACATATAGTTAAGACTTCGTTTTCAAACATTTCTTCAGTTCATTTTATATTTGACACAAATTGAATCGGCGGATTCCAATAAACCACTTTGAACAGTTTAAAACGCTAAATATATTATGTAACTCAGTTCTATGTAAAATATTTCGCGTTTTAAAACGTTAAGTGTTGTATTTAATAATGTAGTTTTTATGTATATAACTGTTATAATATAAATAAGTCTTCCAATATATCGATGCCAAATAATTGCTCACTTCTTATGGTGCTCCTTGGCGTACGTGTCGTTCCAGTACAATTCGTAGGAGACAATGTTGTCGCCTGCGTGCGTAGGTCGCCTCCAGGATAGAGTCACCGACGTCTCGCCAGCTTCCACCACCATCAGATTCGAGGGTTGAGAGGGGACACCTACATATAAAATAATGTTTGCAGAATCTAGGTATAACTACGGTTACATCACAAAAGAATGGTTACATTTGACATACAATTTTAAAATCTTTAATATTAACGTTAAGACAAAAAGAAAAAAATATATATGACAACATATATGTAACAAAAAATAAGATAAATTTTTAGAGATACTAAAAGTGTTTGCTTTATAAAAAAGTATAGGTTTAAATGTTTAATGGATTAGTAAGTAGTAAACCATAAGCTTAACATTTTCTGTCCGAATCGACCGAAATTGTTTCATATACTGCATTTGTAATAAATACAGACAAGTCCAATTAATAGTGGTTTTAGCATACCTTGTTGTGTCTTAACTTGGACGGGTGGAGAAATAGGCCCAGGCCCAACAGAGGTGAACGCCTGCACGCGTATCGTGTACACTGTGTGCGGTGTCAGTTCACTTATCGTTGTTAGATGATTGTTGTCCATCTGTCAAAATAAATGGAATTATTAATTACTAGCTGTGCCAGCGACGTCGTGGACGAGAATCGTTATTCTGGGCATCCGTATAAGTTTTTGCAAACCCCGTCATCTTTATAAACTTAAGCTGTTCGCCACAACGTCGATCGCGTCCCTTTCCGTCGTTCTTGTAAGTTAATCTTAAAAGATAGCGTCGCGGACGTTTTTTTCTGATGATTTGTAGTAAAACATTCTTTCATACACAATTTTTAGGAAACTTGAACCTTTTTTACAGCGTACGTATCTGAAACCTACAGAGATGAAAATTTTCCCCCGTTTCGTTCATATTTCTCGCTGTATCATCGCTCTCATTCGTGACATCGCAATGTGTTATAGCCTATAACCTTCCTCGATAAACGCTCTGACCAACACAAAAATATTTTTTCAATTCGAATCCGTACTTCCTGAGATTAGCGCGTTCAAACAAACAAACAAACTCTTCAGCTTTATATATTAGTATAGATTTTAAAAAATACTAAAAACAACTCTCCTAACCGGTAACAAACCAAGTTTCCACTTTCAGAAAAGAAGATTCTCAATTCGACCGTATGCTTTATGCTTGCAGGTAACTTCGTCGTTTATAGAGCGATTATCTAAGTACTGAGGATATGCCAAGTAAGAGCTTACTGCAATATCAAATTACTAAGTACACACAATAATATTAAATAAAGTAATATGAAAACAAAAGTATTGTTAGCATTATTTAAATTATCAAACTTAATGTAAGAGGTATTAAAAGTCTGACTGTGAGACGGAAGTTGTCGGAAGTAATTACCGACCGACATTTTGATTGTTCTTTCACCGATGTTAAAAGTCGCTTTATTGACTACAGCTTCCGGCGCTACTCTCAATTGATAAAGCGTAGCCACAAGAACAGGAGAAAATTCGCTAACGACAATCAACATACAAATCTATAAAGTTTTTTATAAACATGAAATAATTTTCATAAAATTGTATAACACTGTTAGAAATAATCTGAAAATTCTATTATCAAAGTATCTTTAACTATGTAATTAAGTACATTAAACCAAAGCAAATGCAAATTACAAAATAACACAATACAACGTCAGTTGTGAGAAAGTCTGTTATTGTTTTAATTTTCACCGACTTCATAATAACAAAATATTTATTAAATCGTGTCTTTCTAACTAAATTAAATTATTACCATGTGCAAATTAAATCTAGTTTACATTTATTCCGTTTCTATTTCGCTTTTTTTTTCTTAAACATTATGTTACTTTGAGTAATACTATATGGTAGTGTATTTTATGATAAAAGGACACACAAAGATGGCGTTCACTCAATGAAAAATGAACTAGCCATATAACATTAAGAAGATGACATATTTTTTATTTTGGATATTCAGCTTTCCATGCCGACAGTGGTTCGTGATACGTGATCTAGATATCCAGACGATGTCCGACATGTTTCAGAAAAAATATAATATTTATTAGAAACATGTTAGATTCGGTGGGGATTGAATCCACAACTCACTGCTACCGGTAGTCCGTTAAAATAATGAAATAAAATTTATTTACATTAAAAAATAAAAACTAACTCACCATTTGCGAATGCCACGATTGTAAAGACTGCGACGGATCCGACGTATAATAAACTTTGTATCCCTGTAAAAGAATAATAATTATTCCCCGTATAACAGATATGCTCCCCGAGGATAAAAGGTTTTCACTCGGGGAGAAAAATATTTAATGAACGCCGAAAAATATCGCCATGTACGTTCTAACAGAACGACATAATGAAAATTCAGAAATTCTAATTTATGAAAATGTTTGAAAAGACAATGTTTCGTTAAGGGAAAAAGGAGAGGACGTCTCTTAATGGAAAGACGGATATCGCAAATGTTGACTAGAGACTTTGTTTTCATTTCATGATAATATCATGTATGTAGGTGGGTGGCACAAAAAAATTACAGATGTTGAAAGTCGAATATAAATTTGCAAATGTATTTGGAGTAATTAAGATGTAAGAAATGATCTTAGAGAACATAAATGTGAAGACCAAATGTATTTATATAAACTGAATTACACAATATGCTGAAGCATTGTCTATATTTCCCTGGAGTAATGTACATTTAAATAGGATTCTTTTAACGGTTTAAAACGCGAAATATATTAATTAACTCATTATTTTCCAAAAATGGACAAAACAGATGGCGACAGTGTAGCATATTTGACTCTGAAGTCAGAAAACCTGATCTGCAGCAGCGTCGGGCAGTTGAAACTGATACAAAATAAGATAACTAATATATTTTAAACGTTTTAAACCGTTTCAATAGTTTTAGTTAAACACGTATAGTAACAAAACGTACCGTAACTTGTCCGTTTGGCGTTTCTGGTTCATCCCACTGGATGACCATGGTGCTAGAGCTAAGTGGACGTACTTGAACGTTGCGCGGTGCTGTCCCGGGTTCTAGAAACAGTTTAACTAATTAAATATATATCACGAGATAGGCAAGTCTTACGTATATCAACATTAAAAATAATATTATTATCATTGATGTTATTTTATCGAAAAAACAAAATTAAAAATCCAGGATATAAATAGCACGAGTCAAAGTCAAAAATCGTTTATTCGTGACGTTAATTAGCGCACATACACTTATGAAGTCACAAATTTAAAGAATCTGTCTTTACATTTACTACCAGTTCTCAAATCAAGGGCGTAGAACGGACATGGATTGGGGTGCACTTATTGGAAGGCCATATACCCCAGCCTATAGCATCTAAACAAGATACGCCGTCGACCTATTTTGGCTTTGGATATTCGGAAATCCACAGACTGAAACCGAAACGCGATTAAATTTCACGGCTTATTCATTCGTGGACGGTGGTCCGTGCTCCGGACGGAATTTCTATATTCCTACCACCCATTTAATGTCCAGATTTCCAGACGAAGTCCAGCGTATTTCAGAATTATTATAAATTAGAAAATTATAAAGATGTCGGACCTGGACCACGACCCGTTGATCATTGCTACCATTAGACCAAAAAGCCCATTAAAATAACTCCGTTTAAACCTCCCACCGCTAAGTCCTTCACATAAATATTTGATGTGGCTTTAAAAACGTTTGTTATCGTGAAAGCAATAACGCGAGAGCGGAACAATAACGCGCTAAGCGGTCTCCGTCTCATCTCAATTAACTTCGAACAAAATGAAAGTATAAAAAGTGAAGACAATAACCGCTGGCCCACAATAGCACTAATAGGATTTGTAATGGCCGCGGACCCGAAAGAAAGCGTCACTCAATGAAAAATCCCTTTCGCTGTTTATAATACTTCGCGGAGACAAAAGTTCCGAGCGCCCGGTGCAGTATTAAAACAGCGTAATCTCGTTTGTTGGTCCGACGAACTTCCCTTTATTAGATATGAGCTGTGGCCGCGGCTTCGTCCGTGTGGAAACGTTATTTTGGACATTATTATTATATTTATTTATTTTCGCAAACAACGCCCAAAGCTTAGTTTTGCGAGTTAATGCTTATCTATGAAAATTAACTCGGCATTAACTGGACAATTTTTAGGTTTTTTCCACTTTCCCTGTGTTTCTTTGCTCCTATTGGTCACACGCTGATCTTTTATTATTTATTAGATTTGCCTAAAGTTCGATAAATGGTCCAACCTTAACGTAAAAAACTTTCTAAGATTGGCGCATTCAAATCACGACTCGGCATGTATTTTTTTTGCAAATAAACTTCTTTACTATACCTTCAGCTCTTTGTAATAATGTTTAAAAATGTACCGACAGACAATTGTTGTTGCAGTATTATAGTTAAAAACGTTGAGAAAATGTTGGGCGAGGAGCAGAATTTTATTTTTAATATACTCTCGTTTCCATTATCATCTCATCAGAGACCATTTTAATATTTTGTCCGTCCCTAGGCACTGCCGTAATTCAAGTCAAGTTGTAAGAGAAAAATGTGGTTATAAATTCAAAAGAAATGTTTTATAAACGAAGTCGATATTAAAAGAACTATAGCTTAATATTTAGAAATATACAAACAGTAAAAAAGGGTAATTATGTGACATATAAATACATATATTATGTCTGATTATAAAATAAACAAAATTGGTACACAAAGTTTTATAAGAGGCGTATTTAATTACATGTAAATAATAAATGGAAAACTCAACTGAAATACTCAAAAACATATTTTTTATATATATAATAAGGTTTAACTTCTCAATTATATTACTTTACTTACTGGCACCTCCATATAATGAATCCACTGCAAGGGGCAGCAAGAAATCAAATATTAGTAAACAGTAATTATATATTCACACTCAAACACACTTGTGCATCGGCAGAAACGGTTCAAGGGTTCACACACACACTATAATAGTTGACGTATTCGAATGGTGCATGAAATGAAACAAAAAAACACGCGCTACGTCTACAACTAAGGAAACAAATGAAAGAGTGCGAAATAAAAGTAAAAAAATCCAATCGAATTCATTCGAAGCGAACTTACATGATGGCGAGGCGACCGTTGCAACGTCGCGTTAAGCGTCGGCATGAAATCGACCAAAACAAATATCTTAGAATGAGCGACGAAAAGAAAATCTATTCGTTCGATCTAAAGCGTTCAAACCAAGATAGTAGAAGTACTGGAAGCGAAAAGAGAACAACTCAAAGGAAGCTGATGATGAATGCGCCGCAGTAGACATCGACGGGTATAAATGATTCGAGATTCAGACAATACAATAAAAATTTACTCATATCGTAATTTATAGTCTGTATTTCGCATGTAAAAATATGAATATATACAGAATGATAGAAAGGTTACGTTACTGTCTATAGTTTACGCGAGTAGTACACATTTAAATAAAACACTTTAACGGTTTAAAACGCGATATATTAGTTAAACTTATTTGAAAATGATTTTTAACTTCGGCCCGACGTTTTGAATGCTTTGTAGCAGCCGTGGTCACGGGGAGAACGTCGGGCCGAAGTTAAAAATCATTTTCGAATAAGTTTAACTGATATATCGCGTTTTAAACCGTTAAAGTGTTTTATTTAAATAAGGTTACGTTAGTCTATGAATGAGTTACCATTTTACATATTATAATCTAAGTAGTATTAGTATATAAGTTGTTTGTAGTTGACGTAATTTTGTTAATTTATTTATGTTTTTGTCATTGAGAGGATCGGAAACCCCGTGTAGCCTTTTAAAACTATTATAAGTGTGCTTCGCGTTCTTGTCCTTTCATAATATAAAGATATACTTATATATTTGAATGCATATAAAAAGTACTTTACTTCCTCTGTAATTTACTATGTGGCATGGATTCGTTGAATTCTTATATGTGTGTAAATAATTACGTTTTGCATTTAAAAAATAATTGTAAAAGACACGGCTTCAAGAAAAGGTAAAATGTTTAAATATTTTTCGTGAAAGAGAAAATTAGTTTCGTAACAACTGTCGCGTTTTTATGAGGAATTTAGTTTATTCGAAGTTGCATTTGTCACTGCTCCAAGATATTGTGGACTAAATGAAAACTGAAACAGTTCTATTTAAAAGAAGGCGACGAGGAACGCAATAATTACTATTGCATTTTTAACTTTGCTGTTTCAACTTTATATCAAGTTTTATAACGTTGATATTTTAGTAATGATACGATCTTTTTTACCTTAAGTACAACGAAGTTCCGACTGTCTGTAGTTTGTAGTAGTACACATTTAAATAGAACATTTTAACGGTTTATATCACGTTTTAAACTGTTAAAGTGTTTTATTTAGAAGTATGTTTACGTCTTATTAGGGAGCATTATGTTTATACCTGTCTATTATACCTGTCAACGTCATGCTCTATTTTTAATGTAATTACAAAGTTGATATCTCTTACGTATATGTATATAATTTTATATACATTATGATAGGTATTTGTATAATATACAATATTTTAGCAACTGTTAGTATCTGGTGCGTTGCTCCGACTGTCTGTTATTGTAGCCATGTTACATAGGTTATAAGCGTAGCAATGTTAGTAACATTGTTTTGATCATGTCAGGTAGTCGAATTGGTACATATTTCTTTTTTTTTTTAAATAGGTTTCATTTTTGTTTTCTTAAACAACGCCTTTTTAATGAAAAAATAACTGTGGCTTTAATAACAGTAGTAATGGAGTAAAACGTGTCTGTAGATCTGTAAGCCTTCTCCACATTGTGACTTTTTCTTCTGTATTGTTTCAATGGTGTTTTCATACTTTTCTCTTTTGATTTCAAAGCCGCGGAAGCCACTGAATATCAGCGCTGTTGCATATTACAATGTGTTGTCGTTTTGCTAGTAAACTTTCATCTGTACTTGATTGTATTTTTGTGTAAATTATTGGAAATAAATGGTTTTCTTGAAAATTAACGTATTCGTCACAAGTTAACATGCCCTAAGAACAACTTTAAGAATTAACTATCTTTTTATGTAAAAGTCGATCTTAAAACCATATCTTTAGATAGAGCCGTTCACATAATTAATGTGATAAGCTATCAGTGAAATTCTAAAGTGCCAAGATACCAACCGGTCTCTCCAGTGGTGATGACGGCCGGCTCCGATGCTGGCCCCCTGCCAATATTGTTGACAGCGATCACATACATCTCGTATTCAGTGTACGGCGATAGATTCGTCACGGAGTAGTATTGAGTTATTACGCCGGATATTTCGCTGAATGCCTGTGAAACAGATTATATTAGAACCAACATTAAATGACCCGACACTGGAAAATTTATAACTATTTATGACCTGGCTCGTTGGTGTAATGGTAGCAACCTATTGCTAATAATCACTGGCCGTGGGTTCGTTCCCCATCGGATCCAACATTTTCGAAACAACATATATATCATAAAAAAAACTTTAATTCCCCATGCTTGCCGAATGCTTGTTAGTATGGAAGAATGTCGTAAATTTTTAAATTTTAATAATAATTTCCTACACCGGAGAGCATTCAGCAAACAATATTTTGGCGATGTATCAATTATTTCCATCCTTGCACACTGCATAATGCAGTCACTTTAAAATGATATTTGACCAAAATTAGTCAAAATAACAAAAACGGGATGAAAATAGCACGATTCAAAAAGTTGCTCAATTGTTGCAACTTTCTGAAAAGTTTTCAATACCTATTGTTAAATATGTATGTTTAAGATAAATGGAATACAATTGAGAGCGATGGTATTGATAAAGCACATAAAATACCTGATTAGCATATTTCGGTTTGTACTGTATAACGTAGTATTGTGGTTCTTCGGGGCCGTTGTACGTCCACGCCAGACGGACTGTGGTCGCTGTGATTTCTGACGCCCTCACTTCAGTTGGCGGACCGGGCAGTGCTGCGAATAAAAAAAGACATTATTAAATTTCCGTTTTCTGGCGAAAGACGAAAAACTAGTGTAATAGATAAATATACTATAAAGCTTTCATTAAAGGACTGTACAAATAATTAGCTTTCAAACTTTCAAAAAAGCTCGCTAAGCCGCTTAAACGCACCTAAAAATACGGGCCGAATTGACGTCCTGAAAGTTTGAACCCGCTTGTTCCGTACTAAATAACCCTCGAAACGTCCTAATCCCTTTCGAGTTAAGCGGGGCATGGCCGAAGGAACAATAATTAATCATTAATCAGTCTGGCACTCGTTATGTCCCCGGAGCGTCCCGTAAGTTTTCGAGCTTCCCCATTATGAATTATATTTATCCATAATGGATGAGAGTCATCGCAATTCATCAAACGATTTTGTCAAATAATTTACAAAGTGAGGGGAGGGGGGATACGTGTATTCGTAATAAAATAATACAGATATATATAGAGATTACAAGTTAATAAATTAGGGGACTATGTCTTTTGACAAAACACAATCAACTTAGTAACTTATAAAAACAATTGAACTTCACGTCAAGCCAAAAAGTCAACACTAACTATATAACTATAGTTAAAAACACGCTAACCATTGTACATAGAACATACATACAGTATATATAGAACAGAATATAGTCACGTTCACACTTACACTGTACTTTGACCTCAGCAGTGGCTTCTATGACTCCAAGAACGCTGGCTGCTTCACAAGTATAATTCGCTGATTCCGTTATATCTTCTAACTTCAGTGTGTTGATCCCTAGAGGCGGGCTGTCTTCCGGCGTCAGCCATTTTGTCAATCCTTTAAAATAAAATTCATGTTAAAATCTAACCTAATATTGTAAAGGCGAATAGTTTCTTTATTTGAACGTACTAATTTCAAGAACTACTAGTTCGAATTCTATCGAGCATTTATCGATAATATGCCTACTTCAACCGGCATAACTGTCATTAATTTCATTTTCATTTGTTGGATGCTCAATATATGAAAACAATTATTTAATACTATTTACTTTGGTCATACAGCTATTTTCACCAGTTTAAAATATTTTACAAAAGTAATTAACACATATAATTATGCCATTATAGAAACTATAGATAAGTATGTCACGACATCAACCACAATATGTTTATTTATACATGAGTGACAATTGTTATATAGCAAGTCTAGTAGAAGTATTAAAAAAACTACTGAAAGTCGAACATACAACTAAAGATATGAAGACACTGATAACTACGTGACGCACCTTTTCTCCATTTGACCGTAGGCATGGGTGACCCGACAGCGACGCACTTCAAAGTCAGGTTTCCTCCTAACATCACTTCCGTCCGAGGTGGTGGCGGTATCGAGAACTGCGGTGCTACTCTTCTTACTATAGAGAAAAAGTGTAGTATTAGGTCAGGAGTTGTTAACGAACAGTTGAAATATACTAACAATTAACTGAAACATTGGTAAAAAGTAGTTCTTCAAAAATTATCTTAAGATCATTTTTTCCGTTACATACAAATAAAGAGGAATAAAACGTTCAAAAGTGATGGGCTAGAAGTATTATAAGTTTTATTATTTTAATATTTTTTTTTATATTCATAAAATTACTAATATGATTAATGTGAAATCTTTTTTTTATGATAAAGGAGGACCGACATGGCATAGGATTCACTTGATCATAGGTGATATTCACCAGTCACATAACATATACACAAGATGTGCGGTCGACCTATTTTAGCTTTGGATATTCGGAAAATGCACAGACTGAAACCGAAACGTGATTAAATTTCACAGCTTTTTCATCTGTGGTGATTCGTACCCGGACTGAATTTCTATATTTCCACCACCCATTTAATATTCAGATTTCCAGTCTAGCACGATTCAGAAAATATATATGGAAAATTGGAAACATGATGGAGCTGGTGGGGATCGAACCCAAGACGCGATGAGCATTAGGCATACATTGGTAGTAGACCAAAAAGCCCGCCAACTCTAAACGATTTATGTAAAACTAAAAAGTTATAGAAATGATAATAGCAATATCGTCCTTCATATGGTGTTGATTAAATACTGTCTATAGTTTACGCGAGTAGTACACATTTAAATAAAACACATCGACGGGCCGAAGTTAAAAATCATTTTCAAATAAGTTTAACTAATATATCGCGTTTTAAACCGTTAAAGTGTTTTATTTAAATGATTTTTAACTTCGGCCCGACGTTTCGGATGCTTTGCAGCAGCCCCGGTCATGGGGAGACGAAACGTCGGGCCGAAGTTAAAAATCATTTTTAAATAAGTTTAACTAATATATCGCGTTTTAAACCGTTAAAGTGTTTTATTTAAATGGTGTTGATTTTCATCTTTTTGTATATAATATACATAAAAGCCAATACAAATTTTCTACAGTTACATTTAAAGTTAAGATACTTTACACGGCTTCACAGATAGCTCGCGAGAATTATAGGAAACCTAATTGAGTTACATCGGAACAATTCCGTCTAATTAATAATAATCCCAGACTAATTTGCAATTAATATCAATCGTAGTGTGATTAATTAATGACTATGGCGCGTTGAAGACGTATTCTTGTCGGTGTGCATAATTTAATCATAAATCACCGTTGCGCGAGAGGTGCACGTGTCAATACGTTGGAAAAATTCAACGATGACGTGTAGGGCTCGGTAGTTATTGTTATAGTGTATTGGTTAGAGCAACAGCACGGACCGCTGACGATGCCGGTGCAAGTCCTGCCCGAGTCGTATCTTTTTTCTCGATTTTTATTATAAAAATCACCATATTTCAAATGAGCGTATATAGCGATCGCGTAGTCCTAAAATCTACGGTGTAAATATTGTTTCGAGCTAATAAAAATATTATACTACGAAATGTTTAAATACTGTCTGCACTTTACGCGAATACTACACATTTAAATAAAAAACTTACGGTTTAAAAAGCGTTATATAAGAGTTAACTTATTTACAAATTATTTGACTACGATCCGATATTTTCGATACTTTGTAGCCGTGACCGTGATTACGCGACCCGTGGCCGTTTTAAACCTTTAAAGAGATTTATTTAAACAAAATGTTTTATTCTTCCCAACAGTTAATTTCCAATCCAATATGAATTTTATTTAGGTTATCTCTCTAATTTTGAGAAAAATTAATTAATAGTAAAACACTGTCTATAGTTTACGCGAGTAGTACATATTTAAATAAAACCGTGGTCACGGCTGCTGCAAAGCATCCGAAACGTCGGGCCGAAGTTTAAAACTCACTTTCTAATAAGTTTATCTAATATATCGCGTTTTAAACCGTTAAAGTGTTTTATTTAAATAATTTATAGTAGCTCAATTTTAAACGCTTTTTTAAGATGGAGAGTTATACGTTGAGGTAAATCCTGGAAAAATATTACAAATTGTATATGTACGTTGTGTAAAGAAGATATACTGATAACATTTTTATCAGAATACAATACGGGTTTCATGTAAGAATTAGAATTTATCTCGAAAGGTTCTTATAAGACAAATGTGTAATTGTTGTTACATACGCAAAACGATTCACTGAATTACAGCCACATTCAAAAACTCTGTCACAAACGTTTCAACGGCGTAAAATTACCCGCTTTCGGTTTCAAATTTCACAAGTCATAAAAAGCATTATTCTTGAATGCTGCAGCGGTATCGTTCATGCTTGTCGGTCCCAACACGTGTACCGTATCCTTAACACCGGAATACCTTAAGCTACAAAGGTTGCCACTTTTATGTTTTCGACGACGTGTCAAGAATAAACATGCAAAATGGTCTACTCTCCAGTATAAATGAGGGAGGCGTGAGGCTTGACGCGACCTTTGACTTAAACAAAGCAGGGGCGAGTTATATATAATTATATTGTGTCTATATATCATTCTTCATTTTTTATGATTAAGGAGGGTATGCATAGGATTGACTTGATGGTAGGAGAAATACCCTAGCCGTTTAACATAACGTTTGGTTTTCGATATTCGGAAACCATAGACTGAAACCGAATTCTTCTTTAAATGATCTCGATTGAATTTCGATGTTTTTACCACACATGCAATATAGATATTTCGTGACAAAGTCTAACATTTTGCAGAGTAGTTATAAATTTACGCGAGTAGTACACATTTAAATAAAACACTTTAACGGTTTAAAACGCGATACTTAGTTAAACAGTTTAAGTAATATATCGCGTTTTAAATCGTTAAAGTGTTTTATTTAAATATAAACTTATTATAAATATGTGGAACCGGCATGGAACCCAAACCCGTTATTAATTCGCCATATTGCTACGATTACACCAACGAGTCTGTCAAAAAGTCTAATATTATTAAAAATGGCTACAATATATTATATAGGTATTGTTTGTCTAGCAATTACTTTTAAATTTATATACAATTAATCAAGCAAATGATAAACAAACTAAACAGGAATATTTTACAGGTAAGTATGGATATTATATAAAGAATTAATTATAAATATCATTCAATCAGATTTTGTTGCATTTTTTGTTAATACAGATATATGCTGTATTAAAATTAGGTTTTATATCAATTTAATTCAAATAAACTTATCACACAAATTTCCTGTAAAATTCGCCCTCGTCGAGATAATTTAACTACGCGGTTCTATTGCTAGCGCAAATACGCGAAGAAATAATGTTGGGAATGCCCTGTATTTTATCAGCAACTTCATTTTCTTGTGCAAACGGTAACCTCTGTAGTAATCATCATTTATTACGAGCCGTGGGCAGTATGAGTCGCGGCTGCCACCACCGCTAAGAGATAAGCGTAGAAAAATATTTGTCAAGGAGCCATTATGTTAATTGTGCAGTTCCTTCGAGCTACGGCGGCACTGGGCTTGAATAATTGTACAACTCGGTGAATAGGGCACTGCATTTAATATGAGGGTAAATAATACCGGTTTATTAACGAAATGATGAAATGCAATTGACATTAATATATGTTAATTTGGCCTTCTTAAGATTATGCAGAAACTTTTGAAAACATAATTATTTTTCACATGTTTTATGGAATAGCATAAATTAAAAATCTTTATTGATTCAAAAAAATTGACTACCCGAAGAAACTCGATGAAACGTTCAGAAAAAAAAAAAGATTTATTATGTAGTACAAAAACGTAGGTGTAAAAGCATTTTTTTTTCTGCGGCTTTCTCGTGTCACAGTTTTCGTTGCCATACTCCTCTGAAACGGCTCGACTGATTTTGATGAAATTTTTTGTGCTTATCCGGTATCTATGAGAATCGGTCAACATCTATTTTTAATCCCCCTAAATATTAGGGGTAGTTCACCCATAAATTTTTATTTTAATTTTTTTATCAAAATTTTTAATTTCTATTTTTTTTATGATACAACATACAAAAAGACATACAATTTTCACCCTTCTACGATCAACCCTTATTTTTTTATAGCTATTTTAGTAAAATTATTTATATGGCAAAACAACGTTTGCCGGGTCAGTTAGTTGACATATAAATTTACGACAGTAGAGGACATACAAACATGGAGTTTAAAGGTAACATGGAGTTTTAAAGTTGAAACGTACGCTGTCGATCTATTGTGCTCAGCACATTTAAAAAACCATAGACCATAACAAAAACGGGATAATGGTTTAAATAAAGGACTAACGGTTTCAATCGCTTTGCAGCCGTAGTTACAAATAATTTTCAAGCAAGTTGCTGGTTCCTGAACCGGATGGAAATTTTGATTTTCCTAACACCCAATGTAATAATTACCAGATTTTCCAGACGAAGTGTAAAATAATTTGAATTTAGAAAACCTAATGTGGTTATGTCGAACAAAAATAAAAATTTTATTCTCTAAAATATTTTTACTCCTTAACACACAACCAGATAAGGTAGTTAGCGTTTGATCTAATTATACCTGACGTGGTTGTAAATAAATAAAAGAGTTAAAAATAATGTGGCTTTTGTGCCTTCCCTTCACATCAAAGGATTTAATTTTTTTCGCACGACTCGACGGGCGCCAGCCACTTTGTTTTCGTAATTAATTTAAATTAGTCATAATAAGAACTACTTATTAAAACAATCTTATGCTGCATTTAGCTTTGTATCGGCCAGGGAACATGTATGGATCGATACTTAAAAACGATTTAAAACCTTGAACGAAGGCAAAGTGCGTATAACAAAATAGCGAAAATATCTATACTAGTATGTCGGTTCGAATTTTTTTTTTTATGTGGGTTGGAACATTTATTGAGGAAGACTTTAGGCTATAAAACATCACGATGCCAACAATAGTAGCAACAAATGTGGTCAATACGGTAAAATATATTTATTTTTGAGGGTTACCGTTGCGTGTGCTGCTAAAACGGTTCAGGATTCC